TGTCTCTTTCTTTCTGCTTCCTCTTAAATTGAGCTAAATCTGGGGCAGATGCTGATAGATTGGTGCCAAAATGTGGTATCTGGACACCCCAATTTCTAGACAACTTGGCTTCTGGACTACCCCTGCATCCCATATCTCACCCTTCTCAGCTACTTCCAGAGGTAAGTAAATGACTGGGTGGCTTTTTCTGCCCCCAGCGGTTTGGCTCTTGCTTTCTCTATTCTATCACTACTTCTGTTTTCACTCCTCTAGAATTTCAAGGAGGTGTATTCCCTTTGTGTAAAGCACTTGGTAGTGAACATGGACTTAAAATTCTGTGAGTCTCATCAGGCTATAAAAATTTTATGCCATTGTTTGACATATGAAATTAGTTTTTCCTCCTGTAAAATACACCATTCTGGGATGTGCCATAAATATTTTGCCAAAAATTGTTCCATATCCTTTTGGTTTTACATGAGTTACCATTTTGCTGCCATAACCCTAGAGATCAAAATGGACAATCACCACCATGGGTAACAAGTTATCTCCCACTCACACTGCTCATAAGGAAGAGATATTATAAAGTCAGGCTAATCACTCAAAACTGTCCGAAACCATTTCTCAAATGTTAGTGGAAATTGATACCTATTGCCCTTGGTGCCCTGAGGCTAAATCTTTGAAATTAACTGATTAAAAAAAAAGGGTATCTGCTTACATGAAGGACCACGTGCTTGTATAAAAATTTTACATGACTGACATCTATGCAGAAATGCCATACTTCAATTTAAAAAACCTAATAACTTTAAATTACCTCTAAAAGAGATATTAACAGCTAATGCAAAGACCAAACCTAATCCAACTGCCCTGCAGTCTCCTACTCCCACTCCCTCATTCAAGGTTTTATCTAAAGAACTGCCTAGGAAAAAAAAAACCCTAGAGGATACTTGCAAGCATGTCTAAACAGCACTTTACAAGAAGGGGACACTTCTGCACTTTCTGTCTGTCCTGAGACAAGCCACATATGAATGTTTACCCCATAAAATACTTAAAAAATTTATACAAGCTATCACCAAATATAAAACCAGCAATCATTATGTTATAGGGATGATAGACAACATAGTGACAAGCTAAGAGCTTATAAACAATGACTAAAAAGTGTTGGTAAAAATAGTAACTACCCCTGTCCAATATACAGTTTGTAGACAAGAGTCTGACGACGAATGCCATCAGATGGCTGCCAATAATATAATAAAAAACCCAAAAGTGACTAATAAAATGTTGTCAGGACTGGTGGTTATGTTACTAATAAACACCAGTCCCGCTTGCCACCAGAAGTCTTTGGTCAAATAGCCACCATTGCCACTCATACATTAAACAAACAAACAAACAAACAAACAAAACAACCTGATTCTTCTGAGAAATGCTTTTGTTTTGTTAAGGTGCATCAAGGGCCACAAAAAACCTATGGCTCATTTATAAGTAGGTTACAAAGATCTTTGTACAATAGAAAATGCTGATATAATTGAGACATTGTTAAAACAACTGGCCTTTAAAAATGCTAATGTCTATTGTTAAGAAATATTAAAACTATTTATGACATGCCCACCATCTCTTTTAACAGACATAATAAAGGCATGTTAAATAGTAAATACTAAAAGCCACAAAGATTGTTGGCTGCAGTATTGAGACCACCAAATAAAAAGTGCTATTGATATAAAAAAGAAACATCAAAAATTATTTTTAAGAAAAGCCTGCCTCAAAATGTAAATGTTGTAATAAAGACATTCATTCTACTAACTAGTGCTGCTCTTCTTCTGATGTGCTGAAAAACCTGACACCAGACCTGCCTCCAGCCCAAGACCCAAGGAGACATCACTCTTGTCCCAATAAACCCAATGACTGACAAGAACCCTACCCTGATAACTAGGCTAAAAATGTATAACTCCGTTCATCTTACGGCTGAGTACAGACATTGATTTATTGCCCAAGAAAGTTTCTTTAAATTTGACAAAAAAAAGTTCCTTTATTAAATACTCAGCTATCTAGACCTTAAAAAAATGGGCACACTTGAAAATTAAAAGCATGACAGCCTATGGTGACCTTATAGCCCCATTCCCATAACAACTTAAAAACTCTCTTTTCTCAAAACTTAAATACTCTTAATAACCTTAGAGCCCTGATAACAGCCTAACAACTCTGTTTAGTTCTGATAAACACAGAGTTAATCCTTTCTCATATTTCCCAGTCTAAACCAAAAAACAAGAGATAGACTTTGACAGACCTAAAGTAATCCTTAAAATGATAAATAAAATATGTTTCTAATTAATCAAAGATAACAATCTCCAAAGACAAATTTATAAAAAAGAACAAGGTGAAAAACAAATAAAAAACATAAAAAAGATATAGATATCAAAATATATTTATAGGGAACCAGCAGTTAGCATAATGGCTATGTCGCTGGACTCCCATGTAGTCAACTGTGGTTCGCGTCCCGGACCCGGTGGCTTGGAAATCACACTGGGCACGTGTGCGTGCATGCCCAAGATCCCAAGAGGAGAATGGAGGAGAAGGGATTGCGGCGTGACCATCCCCCCTGGGGGATGATTTCTCGCTTTCTATCTCTATGTCTCTCTATGTCTGTCTGGCGAGCGCACGTGCCCTATAGTGAAAAACTCTAAAAAATATATATATATATATACATATATATATATATATATATATATATGGTTAAAAAACATTTTAATATAAAAAGTTTTATATAGTAAAATTTTTGTCTTAAAGTGACTAAATTATTCAAAAATAAAGAGAAATAATTTTAAAAGTCTCAAAAAGTTTAAGTTATTATTATTTTTTTATAGACCACAGATTTGTTTACTTTTAACACCCATCATGCCATGAATTCATAGAGAATAGGTTCCAGTAGCTCAGGCTCCTTTCCATTGGTTCTCACAAAGTGTGCTTCTCTGAGTGGAGCAGGTTGGTGCTTCAGTTGAACCCAGGTACCTTCCTCTTTGACTTCTTTCTTTTTCTGGTCATTTTCCTTCACACATTTTAGGAAGCTATCTCTGCTCTTAGGAAGTTTAATATGCTCAATACGCACATTGATTCTCTCGGCAAGAATCTTGCCCTTAATTTGTTTGTTCACAACAATGCCAACAGTATGCTGGGTAACATTGTAGACTCTTCCAGTTTTGCCATGGTAACATTTGTGGGGCATTCCTTTTTGAACAGTACCCATTCCCTTAATGTCTACAATATCACCTCTCTTGTAGATTCGCATATATGTCGCCAAAGGAACAACTCCATGTTTTCTTTTTTTGGAGAAGTTTTTTTTTTTTTTTTTTTTCTATACGGT